CTTATGAAATATCCCAAAACTATGGTCTTTATTATTTTTATTAATATTTAAATCTAAAAAATTAATTGAATTATCCTTCTCTGTTTCCAAAATTTTATATTTTTAAAATAAAAGTGTGAAAATCTACCAAATTTGGTTTTACTCTTTCAAGATTAAATGGATTTTCATCAAGTAAAGGCCGAAACAATAAATAATATTTGACATTATAATGATAGTGCCATTGTGATACGGCTAGTCAAATACATATACAAATTATGTATATAAAATATTACTGATTTCTTTAAGAAAAAACGAAATTTTCACACAGTACCTGTTGTTTTCATTGTTTATGAAACAAATTTAACAAAATTTTGGAAATCAAAATGGTTCTACATGCCCACGAAGACTTGCATTTATTTTTTTATGACATCTAATAATCTAAATTTAATTTGGATTATTTTAAAACTAATAATTTAAAATTATGCAAGCCTTTTAGTATAGTAAACTGACAATAAAAAAATATTGAAGAGTTTTTGTAACTCATTCCAAATTATTTTTCTTATTTAATTCCTGATCTCGATTCCTTTAGTAGTATATAAATAATGCATTTCCATCAAATAAATTTTAGAAGGTATAGAACTTATAAATAATTTATTCAACATTTATAACTGTATATTACATCACTACGACACTTAAAGGGGTAAGTTCTCCATCTAGTTGGCCAAACTTATTTACTAGATGTGTATTTAATTTATTTATTTAAATACCTTTAACTTCTCCTTTTCCATTATTTCCCCATTCTTTTCTATCTATTGTAACCGTACTTTTATCTTCCACAATTGATTTCTATTTCCCGCTTTTATTTATTTTTTGTTTTCTTTAATTTTCTTTAATTTTCTTTAATTTGCTTTAATTTTCTTTCTCATTTCTTTCTCAATTTTTTCTCATTTCTTTCTCATTTCTTTCTCAATTTTTTCTCATTTCTTTCTCATTTCTTTTTCATTTCTTTCTCATTTCTTTCTCATTTCTTTCTCATTTCTTTCTCATTTCTTTCTCATTTCTTTTTCATTTCTTTCTCATTTCTCTCTCATTTCTTTCTCATTTCTCAATATATAGGCCATCAACGTTATTAACAGTTCTAGATTCAAATTTCCCTGCTCCATCAAGCAGGATCTGAATATCTTCTATACTGATTGAATGTGTTGCTTTGGTTTGTTGTTGTCTTTTCCTGTTGCTACTATAGCAGTGTTTATAGGAAGTTTCAATACATTGAAGTCACGCCTAGCTTTCTCTAATTTTCTCGCAATAGCCTCCGACGCCTCTGTTCTTCCACCTTTGACATTAAGCAAAAAAGGTTCGGGGGTTCAAGAGAAAAAACGACACACACGGTCCTAGTCTGATTGAATTCTCGTACAAGTATCAATGGAATAAGGATTTATATTGATCGTATTAGTCTACACCGGATACATCGGTCCCATCCCGTTTCATATAAAGGCTAAATCGAAAAGAGGGAATTATGTTAACCTGCCGACGGTGCCTGGTCCTTCTTTTTCTTCCTTTGGCGAATTGCCGGGAACGCTATCCTATTTCCAGGAAAATGACAAAGCGTGTCGCAAAGTTCTAAGTGAATTTTAGCCGGTTCGTCAACCGGAGCGGATTTTTTTGAACAAATATATTGTTTAATAACCATTCAGCGATGATTCATTTGAGGTGATATCTGTGTTGATAAGGATATTTATTCCTTCGACTTCTTACAGTTTTAGTAGAATATTTTAAAAGGACAATAATAACAAAAATCTACGCAGGAAATAACAGATTAATGCTGGTTGTAGAAATTAAATAGTACAGTACGAATACGATTTTTACATTAAAAAACTCATTCTCAGTAAACTCACCCATATTTAACCTCATCGGTTATTGTTAAACTTAGTTTTAAAAATGAAAAATTACATTTTCACTTTGAATACAATTATTTAGCTAACACTGTGTATTAGATAATTACGCACCGTACTGTATATTTATTACATTAGAACATATTCAACGCTACAAGTAACCAAAAATATAAATTCACTCGTTTCTTATAACGTTATTCATAATATTACAAAAATTAGGAATTTTTTAATTTTAACACCCTATATTTTATATTTTTATGTTATTTTTTTTATAGAGTAAATTAAAGGGAATAGTAAATGTTCTTCCTATTTGTTTTGCTATTTCTTTATTATTTTTGCATTTTTTTTTTCTTATAATGCTATGTTATTGTATATCAATTTCAACCCAGTATTTGGTTTGCTTTAATGTGGTGTAAACTAAAATAAAATAAATACAATTAATTTCCAAATTTAAGCCCTTAGGCCAGGGTAGTCTTCTCTGACTATAAACTTCTTTAACTTTGAAGTTTGCAATTTAGAACCAGCATCGCTATAATATTAATGAAATTATACAATGAAAACGACATCCGCAAGACCAATTTAATCAATTTTAAATTTATACATCATTGGAAACGTTTAAAAACGAACGCAAAGTACTTGCGCAAAAAAAAAGAACCAGCGACGACGAATGAAAAAAAAAAGAAAATCCTTTTGCACTTATTAGAAGCCGAAAGGAAAAATGAAAGAAAATCGAAAACAAAAAAATTCTCGCTAATTGGGAACTGTTCTCCCTTCAATTAACTTTCGATAATCCCGCGGGAACGTTTGGACAATGAATTAATAGTCAATTAAGAAATTGCTGGATAATTATTCTCTTTTTATTTACGGTCTTATCCTTAAATGCTGACAGCGAAATAAATTAACTGCAAGAAGATTTTTCATTGAAAATGTTTAATTGATTTGGTCCGGTAATTACGATTTTTACTGAAGTGTTCGTAAAAAATATATAAATGGATACAATAAATAAATTTTTCGCTTAACGATAAATCGCAGATTGAATATCAATGTAAGTAGACAAAGAAAATTCAATTCAATTCACGAGGATATATCTAAATAATCTTATCAATAAGGGCCAAGTTTTCTAATCTGCCAAATGGACCTTTACTCAGAGGTTAAAAAATAGAGCCTAAATATAATTTTGACTTGTTTTTGCATTTCTGAACATTGACAAAGAGAGGACTATAATGTTTGGTATTTGTATTTGTAATTACTTTAAGGATGAATGTAATAAAACTGGAATTTAGACTTGATCACTTTATTGCATGGAGGAAGGATTTATTGTAACCTCCATTACATGTCTCCTCCCTAATATCTGCTGTCAACTGTCTGTCGAGTGCCAAGTGTCAGCTCTTCTTATTTAGACTACTGTGGCCTCGTACTTACTTACATCCTAACAAGGACAATTAAAAAATATTAATATTCCTAATTATACATTAGTTACTTAAAAATAATTGAGCATGGAAATGTGGATATTTTTCTAAAAAGTTATTTTCAATGAATTCATAGTTGACCGATATTGCCCCCCACTTTACCATATGTCAACATAATTTATTTCTGATAAATTTTCCCTAAATAACTTAGTTTATAAAAAAATATATTTTACTTTCCAAGATAAAACTCAAACACCCGACATTACTTGTAATAAGTTTTTGACAATTTTATCATATTAAAAAACATATAAACATTTCGTTATAATTTATGAGAAATCATATACCTTAGAGCATATCGCACTTTATACGTGACCTATATTAACAGTATTGCCAGTTTTGCTCTATAATTTGTAACCCCCAATATAATGTTTAAATTGGAGAATATCCAACATAAATTTGTCAAACATGTCAACTACGAAAGCTTCCCATTTACAGAGATATGCATTAATTTTAAAGGTATTCACTGGAATATTAGTTTAGCTGAATTATGCACTGGCTATTTATAGCCTAATACATACAACAGCAATCAGTAGAATTTACTATTCAAATTTGATCCAATTTTTTCTAAATTAAACCTTTCTTATCTACGAATCTAGTCACACATGAATTGGATCAAATAAAAATTTGCCTAAATCAAATTATAAACATTTATTTATTTTTTCATTTCTACCTCTATTGTCAAACTTAAATAAATCTTATTTAAAGGTAATATTTGATTCGCGTTTTCTAAGAATGTTTCAACAATATTATTTTTATTTTAACAAAGCCTTCTGAAAATGGATAAATGATTAAAAAAGAAGAAAGCTTAACGATGATAATAGTGATAATGATAAAGTTAGCGACCAAGGAAATAAGCCCACACCTGGTACAAGTACAATACGTTGTTCATCGGAAATACAATGAATATTTTTTGAAATTTGGATATACTACTAAAATGGAAAATGACAAGGTTATTAATTTATCAAATAGTGCTATGGTTCCTAGCAAACTCCAAGGTCAATTGTTGACTAATCAACCTTCGCTTTCAACAGCTACTTTCAAAAGTCTTTATTTCTAAATTCAAACTAGTAAAAGTTTTTGAAACGGTATGTCTAAAAAGGCTTCTTACGAAATAACTGAATTGATTGCTGTTAAATTAAAACTTCACAATTTTTTTGAAGATTTTATATTACCAGCTTGTCGCAAAATTGTAAAAATAATGATTCGTAGATCAGCAAATATTGATATTTGTAAAATACCACTTTCGAATGACGCAAAATATTGAGCAAAATACTGCAAAATACTGCAAATTCAAATTTTGCTCTACAAATCTCCAAGTATTTGTTTTCACCTTTTGGGCTCGGGGATGGTTCGTAGGGGGATTTGTGAGATTTGTTTATGAATTTTCAAATTATTTCTAGTTAAATATTAGTTTGTACTTTTTTTATTATTTTAAAATAAGTATTTTGTTTTATTCTGTAAAGTTCTTTGTTATACACCACAGTTTTTCTAAATAAAGTTTTATATTTAAAAAAAAACTAAAAAGGTATTATATACCTTTTATACAAATTTTAGATTTTAGATAATAACTGTCGTTATGTCCCCTCCCCCTTTCATCCTTCCATAAAAATGGGTTCTGGATACGCTACCTGCATTCCTTATTTTATATTTTTTGTTACAGCTCCACACGCACGAAGTCGTTGAAGTTTGTGCGAAAATACTATACCAAGTTGAACTATCAAGAAGTACCTTAGAACAAATGTGGGGTTTTAGTGTAGAAGCAGAACTAGTAGAAAACGCCGATCGACAAGACGAACTATGCTGTTACGTCAGCCGTGTTGAAGATAAAAGTGTTGCCATGCAAAACGGTATGTTCATTAGATAAAAAAATTCTTCAATATCACTCCAACAAAGACAATCATATACTGTTAACTTTATAGGTGAAATTGATTGTCTTTTAGATACAAAGGCTATCGGAATCACCTGTTATTTTACCTTTTTCATGTACATTATTACCCTATAATATTATCTCGTTCCTTTGAACTGTGAAACAGAGTTTGATGTCGCTGGTAATATTCCAGTTTTCCAATTTTCTTGTAAATTACTCAAAAGTTAATCCTGGTATAACTTGGCTGTCGTCAGATTGATTAGATTGACGCTGTCATTCCAATATTACTTAAGAGTAATAGGCTCGATCGAGCTGCAGTGTCTGAACGACCCACAATGTTCGAAAAAGGATAAACAGAGAAATTTACGTGAGAATAATGTTGACTTCGCGTCAACAATCTGCTCGAATCGTCAGCTCCAGTCTTAAGCGAACTAGAGAAAATCATAAGCGTGCCAGCCAAAAATTATTGTTCTCCCAGGCCCTCGAATTTAACTGAAGTTGAAGTAACTGAACACGGTGCGCGCGTCGTAGGCGTAGCTACATAATTATATTTGTGAATTCTACGAGGATGTTTTACCGATCACAGAGAGCGCCTATTCCCGTTGCTAGAGATTTCTCTATTTTCAGGAAACTTCAAGTATTTTAATATATTTTTTTTTATGTTTAAAATATAATTTTGTGAGCTGATCTTTGTAGACTTGATCTTTATCATCGAGAGTTTGAACGTGAATTAGATCGGATGATAAAATGTTTATCTACATTTTTTTTAATGTGAAAAGATTAAGATTCAAAAATATTATAATTATATTTAATTATAGTTTTGATTCAATATTTTTTAAATAAACGAAATAAGATAGAAATGTGTGGTTTCAACCACTGAGTTTCAAATTTCGAAAAGTTTTTTTTTCGAAGCACATTAATGTTTTTCCATTTATACAGACCGAGGAAAAAAATTTGCCTATTTTCAACTAAAAATAACTTGACTTATTTAAATATTTATTATGTATATTTTTAAACCATTCGAAAGCTGAGTTCTTTTGCTTTTAAAAAATGCTAGCATGTGCAGTTTAATTTTCACAAATAAAGAAGATACGCGACTTTTTGTGAGTGCGTACATTCTCATTAATTTCCATATTGCCAGTAGATATTCAATTTTTTAAAGAACACATTTTCTGCTTTATTTTTTTTTTTTTTTCGTTTGTACACTGAAATAAGTACCGAAAGATTTCAGTACATAAATGACCAACAAAATTAAACATGCAGAAAATACGTACTTTAAAAAATTGAAAAGCTATGCGATAATCAAATTAATGTAATTATTAATTATTTGTACAACTTAAAATGCACGTGCTGGCATTTTTTAAAAGCTGAAGAACTCAGCTTTCGAATGGTATAAAAATATGCAGGGTGTTCTATTTAAACAAGTCAAGCAATTTTTTTTCCTCGCCCTGTATAAATGGGAAAATTTGCTAATGTAATTGGGTAAAAACTTTTCGAAATTTAAGACTCATTGGTCAAAACCGCACATTTTTATCTTATTTCTTATTTATATACACATGCAGACAGCTTAGGGACTAACCAAATTTCTGTAGTCAATCGGAATTATTCTTTACAGGAATCATCAAGAGCGATGAAATAATGGTAATCAACGGCGCCATAGTATCCGATCTGGACATGATGTACTTGGAAAGCGTACTACAAGAAGAACTGGCGCTGTGCATGATGATGCGATCTTCTAGAGTCGAACCACCCGACCTGGCGGGCATAATGAGGGCTACTGACGACATAATCGACAGTTTGGTCTGCCCGCCACCGCCTTCAGAACCTCCGGTTTTCAGCGAGGAAATGATCTCTGGGCTCATCGTACCAGCACCAGGTTGGAACAATACAAAAAACTATCTTAGTTACGGTCTAAAACGTTTTTATAAATTTTCAGGTAAAGACCGATACTCGACGGAATCAGAGAATCCACCGTCTTCGATGACGGACTCTGGTATTAAAGTCAGTTCAAGGACCAACTCTTTCGAAATAGAGAATTTGCTCAAATCCGCCGAACAGGTAACCGGGTTTTGTCGGTCGCCGGTTGAATCGAGGAAAGTGACCAGCCCTACCGGTAGTATAGTTAGTAACACATCTCAGGCTGGTCTGACGCCTTCCAGACAACTTTCTGATGCGGAAAAGCTTAGGAAGGTCATTCTGGAGCTGGTGGATACCGAAAAATCCTATGTTAAGGTGAGTGAGAAACATGATACGCCCTCTGTATGTTCCTGATTTTCCTCTGTTTTACATTTAAAGAGGTTTCTGTTCAAACATCGTTTCCCTAATTATCTCAGCAGCACTGAAACTTGTATTTTTTAGTGGTAGAAAATCCTATTTTTATATCTAAGTACTAGTTTTAGATGTTTTTGACATTTAAGGCCAAGTTCAATTTCGTTTGACATATAATCACGATTTTTTTTAGGTTAGAAAATTGTATTATCGATTTTTTCATTCGAAGTAATACAAGACGTCACTTTAAATTTCTATCTCTTTATGTCAACAAATATGTAACACGATGAATTTATAAAACGTATATCACTAATGAATATGTGGCGGCAACTGACGGCAACACTGTCAGCTACTCCATGGCTACTAGAGTACATACAGGTCCGGTATAAGCCATATATAAATGGAAAATAATAATTTAATGTTTTGATTGAGTTAAATAAAATATCAAAATTAAATGTTTATTTTTAAGTAAACGACATTTTTAAATGTAGACGTCTTCAATCGAAAATAATATAGGCTAATACTCAAGTGTATACGAGTGTACTGAACAAGAGATAATTTTACCCTTTACTCCAGTTTTTTGTAATGAAACCAGCGGTAAAATAGATATGGGTGTACCAAGGCTGTGTTTTGGCCGAATTAGACATATGCGTTCGAGTCTAAGCTAGTTCTGGTTAAGTATAAGAGTAATAGGCAAGAAACGGGTGACATCGAGATAGATGTCACATAAGCAGGTGTACTGAAGATGAACTTTGCAGAACCAAGCATCAGATAGGTATAACACTTGATATTCTGAAAACTATGCATACTACACTGAATAAGAAGGAATGGAAGTGTCAGAAGGAGGCTTAAGGCAAAAAATAAACGGAATAGAGCCGAATAGATAGATAAGTAATAGCCAGGAGAGAGTCCATGAGTGTTATAAATATAGTTAATTTTTAAATGTATTTTTATTGTATAATTTCAGTTTATTTTCATTTTTGGTATAAAACTATGGCTGACATAATAAAACTCTTAAAAGTATATATATTTTCAATCTTTATTTCTATACATTATTTAGTTTTCATTTATTCTCTTTGACCTAGGGAAAAGGTTAGGAAACCCTGGTCATAATTGTTTACAATGTTGGTGTTCCTAATGATACAAAACATTACAGAGGAATGATACTTAGCCATGAAATCTCATCGAGTTCACGCATGACGTATTGTGGTATGGATCTGATGCATCTGCAGATTTAAATTTATTTTTGCGTACTGTTTTCTATCAACTGATACCCCAAATTTATACAAGCCACGTCTTCTCACCACAATGTGACATAGCATCAAATCTGCTTAATCTCCTACCATTTTTTTGAAGTATCAAGGATATTCTTGGTGTAGCTGATCATCATGTTTCGAGTCATAGAACCTAAAAAATAACAAATATCAATAAATAGAATATTTTTCTTTGGTAATTATATAGGATTTCTCGTTAATATACTGACAAACTTTTAAAGGTGGTAGGTGCATCAAAATAAAAATTTTTTTGCCTAATAAAATAAAAATAATTTTATTGCCCAACAAATTAATCCATTTACAGAACAAAATACATGAAATAAATGTAAACATAATATTTTGACAGAAAATAATTTTAGCAACAGCAAAAAAAAAAGAAAAGAAAGAATCCTAAATACATTAGCTACAAATTAGTACAACTAATGGTCGAAATAAATATCCCAATCAGAACAAAATTAATTAAAATTTGAGCACATTAGTGTTATAGGTGAATTTCTTCCCAAGTTCGTTCAAATACTTGCTGTATAAAATGTTTTATGATATCTAATGGCTGTTTGGGGAACATTAAAATTTATTTAATTTATCAAAAATAGTACATCAATAGTGTTATGTAATATTTTATAAAAAAAACACTGGAAACTACCCTTCTATTTTCGAAAGAAGCAGAGATTCTTCAATACCTCGAATGGGATACAGCTCATCTATTTTAAAAGAAAGGTACTTGAGAGATCGCCGCTGAACATTTTCCAATGATCTTTTATGAATATTGTAAATAAGGTTCCAGATAAGAGATGCATATTCTAGCCTAGAACGAACTAAAGAAAAGTAAAGGATCTCCAAGCTTTAAGAGTTTGTAAAAGAACGAGTATTACGAATTAAGAACCTTAAGCTTTTCAACGCAGAAGCAACGGTATTTTCAATATAATCCGAAAAAGTAACTTTTTAGTTGAATAATATACTTTAATCTTCAATTTGTGCACAAGTCCGATAAAGGTAGGCTGTTAAATAAATAATCAAACTTGACCTTGTTAATACTTCTAGTATAGGAACATACTTTATATTTAGACACATTCATAAACAGCTTGTTTTCATTACACCAATTTTCAACGATTCCCAAGTTGGGTCTGTAAAAAGTAACAGTCTTGAATTGATGAGATTGAGGTAAATATTTTTAAGTCAGCAGCGAACAGCAGGTTAAATTTATTGCCAAGTCATTTATAAATATACTAAATAATAGTGGCCCCAGATAGGAGCTTTGTGGAACTCCAGATGTTGCTGTGAGGGGTGAAGATGAAAATCCGTTGTAAAAGACATAATTAAAACGATGATTTAGGTAAGATGAAAATAATCTCAACAGCGACTGATCAAACCCTAAGCTTTCCAACTTCCTTACAAGAATATTATGATTTTTAATTATTACAAAATACATTATGGGCAGGTTGTACAAAAAATATTCTAAACATATTTTAACTAACAAGAGTTTTATTTTTAACTAGTTATATTCAAAAACAAATGTCATTTTTAAAACTATGTTTAACAATAACCGATGAGTATACAACAAGGTTCACAGTTTAAACTAAGTCTACATTTTAACGGCCTATTGTACAACCCGCCATATGTACAATTAAAAATTAATTGTATTTATTTAAAATGCACTTGATTCTGTTGATCAAAACCATTCAATAAAAAAATAAAAAATTAAAAAGTATTGGTATAAAGGTGGTTTTTATATCTATGCTATAAAGCATGCATTGGGGCAGTATGTAGATTATCTAAGTATCAGGTCAGAGAGATTAAAATTAAATAACATATAAGGAAGAAAATTAGGTCCCCTGTTATTTTTAATTTATATTAATGATTGTTGATGTCGCAATAATCAATATGACATTTACCTGTTTGCCTATGATGTCCTTATCTATGTTTCTTGTAAGTTGTAAGGATTTAGATAACTTAGTAAGAGTTAATTGTCAATGAAACTCTGCAAAATGTTTATAAATGATATTGCAATCATTTGTTCAAAAATAAAAGAATGTATTTTACGTTTTAACTTTTAAATACTATAAAAAACGATGGAAAGTCCATAACTTTTAAATATTTGTTAAATATCACTTATTAAAATATTATGCATTAAAAGTAAAACAAACCATAGACTTTCCATCATTCTTTACAGTTTTTTGAACCCATTTATGAACACAGTTTTTGAAAATATTATCGTTCAGAGCTGTATTTCTTGTGATAAAAAAGTCGTCGTCACTTGTCATTGACAACGCGTTGAACTTGGCCTTAAAAAAAATAGTGTTTCTATTTTTTAAAGATGAAAAAAGCCGTAACAAACAGTTAAGAGTTGGTTACTATCATGTTTCTTGATATCTGAGTTAGATACTGTTTTAAAAATTTGTTCCTACGTTGGGCACCAATTTTTATGCATGCGTAGTCAACGTAAATAGTGATTGGTTCATAAAACACATGCTCTCTCCTCAGATAAACATATTCGCACAAACCATCCACTCAAATTAGGAGCTGCCTCCTTCTTTTGAATGCGACAGCTCTGTCTGCGAAATAATAAACACAATCTGAATGATTGCAATAGAAAAGGGATAATTATAAATGAATTGATTAGTCTAGTAGTTTTTCGTCATTGATAGTTTCATATACTCTTGTGTATTGGAAAGATTTTGTGATATATAACGTGAGCCCTTTTTAACCGACCTCAAAAAAGGAGGAGATTCTCAATGGAGGAGATTCTCAATTCGTCAGACTATTTTTTTTATATATGTACGTTCACCGATAATTCTTTACTACAGTTTTCGATTTCTATTATTCTTTTTTTGTTAGAAAGAAAGTACCTCAGGGGTGGTCCCATATAAATTTGAATAATATCTAATAATGGGGCGGTCCATAAGAAACTCATCATTCTTCATTTTTTAAGTATTTTTTAGAAATAATTCTTTACCACGTTGTTTGATTTGTGTAATTTTTTTTTATTAGAAAGGCGATACCTCAGGGGTACTTTCGTATACTATTGGATGAGAAAATCAAAATCTCAATTTTTAAGGGCATCTGCACGATTTTGAAATCGGTTTTTTAAAATTACTTTCATAACTTGTTAATGAAAATATCTACTGAGATTTGGAGTAGCAAGAAACTTTCTAAAACGTCTAAAAACGTTAGAGAGCTTAAGTTCGTCTAATTTTACCGCCCGTTTTTTACTATGTTACTCTCAACAAAGCGAATAAACTTAGTTTAGTGATTAATTACGTATTTGGCGTAGACGGTTAAACTTTAAATTAATTATTTCAAATTTTGCTACGAATTCTAACCAGAAAAGTTTATGGGAGTCGCTACGGGGAGGCATTATGTATACTTCAGCTCTAATAAATAGCCTGAGAATGGCGGGCAGATTATTCTATTAAAAACTAAAACTTAACAATAGTTGGCCTCGTCCAATGAAACACCAGAAAGAAGTTGCTTCTTATTAATGTCGTTCGCGGAATAAAATGCTTGAATGAGTTATTAGATAAGTTTGGTTTGTTGTCGTTCTGCATTATTCATGTTTATATTTGGAAAGTTTGTGATAGATACGGTCTGATAAGATACTTTTATTACTTAATCTTACCTATATCAGTGTTCTCAAAAAAAAAAAACTTAAAAAGTATTTTACGAGCTCAGTCGTCAATCAATATCTAGTACAAGTTTTCTTTTTTATGGTATGTTATAAATTTAACTTAACTGATGAAATAGAAGGTCACAGTTAAAATTAAATTAAAAAAAAATTATATAATTACATTAATGATTTAAACCTCAAAAATAACACAGGCGAAATCTAGACGAGTATTTTCTAAAACAAGTTAAAACCGTTTGATGACTGATATGGGGTTGTTTACTATAACATTCAAGGTATTAAATATTAACTTGAAAGATATGAGTTTTAAGTTGTGTCAATTTTGTGACAGTGTACCCTTGATTATCCCAGGTTTCATTCACTTAATAAATGTTTTTCCCTCATATTATCTACAACAAACAACGATTTCCTTTTTTCCTTGTAATAACGAAAATTTTGCCTCACATCTACTATTCATAAATATTAAGTTATATTCCACAACCTACACTGGGTCCTATGATTGAACGTTTATGTTATCCGTAACGTACATGTTAGAGGTCGAGTTTTAACAGTAATGAAGCACGTTCATATGATGAAAAACTGCTAAATTAGAACATAACAGGCGGAAAATAACAGTTATGTATTGAAAACAATTTTTACTTTCCTATCTGTATACAGATATAAGGAAAGTATAGGAATCATGATTTTTTACTTTCCTATCTGTATACAGATATAAGGAAAGTATAGGAATCATGATTTTTTTCGACCTCGAGTTTTCGACGGATTTTTACGTTTTGAGGTCCCCTGAATCCGTTTTGACTATTTTCGCGATGATGTCTGTGTGTGTGTGTGTGTCTGTGTGTCTGTGTGTCTGTGTGTCTGTGTGTCTGTGTGTCTGTGTGTGTGTGTGTCTGTATAACGCATAACTCATGAACCGATACACGGAAAAACACCAAATTTTAAACTTAAGCTTTGTTCCAACGTCTAATGAGCTGATTAGATTTTGGGCAGAGTCGGAACATCTGGGGGGGTACTTTATAGGCGGTCATTTTTATATTTTATGGAATATATCTGTTATTTATGTTTGAAGAAAAAAATTGTTCAAATAAAAGTTACTTCTAATATTATTATCTATAATTTTTGCTTTATGTAAAAATTTCCTGAAATGGTCCGTATTCGAAAAATTTGACAAAATGTGCAAAATTCTGATTTTTATGAAAATTGTTGAAATAAAAGTTGTTTGCGATATCGATCTCTATAATATTTGTTTATACATGATTTTTTTAAAATGGACCGTAATGGAAAAATTGTAGGAAAAGTGCTAAATTTAAATTTTTCAGTATTTTCATTTTCAATGAATATCTATAGAAAAATGTTTCGCGGTAGATGTATGTGGACAATGTATATATTTAGTTTATCCTCTAAACATTTATAGAGATGCTGCAATAGATTGTACAAAATAACCGGAAAAAGCCTGTAATACCTAGATAGGAAAGTCATGTGTTGGACACATCAGATTTTTCATTATACGAACTTGCCTAGTTACTGTTAAAACTCAGCCTAACATGTACGTTACGGATAACGTAAACGTTTAATCATAGGACCCATTACTGTTCCGTCATAGCGATGCAAAACACGTCGCATACGATGCATTTTCATTCCATCTTTTCTTGAGAACGCCATTTACTTTTTATTCTACTATCTCACTACTTTTCCATAATTTTTTTTACGTCCGTTTCTCGCGTCTCTATGTAACTGTAGATTTGAAAATTTCCATAATTTATTGTGTCCTCTATTATTTTATTAGAAGTTGGACTCTTGTCGTCACAGTTTTCAAATTATTGTTTAGTAAAAAATCAAATATGTTGCCTAAAACCCAGTAGAATAATATGACCAAGTCGTAGTCATAAGTAACTACTGTGTTATGTCTGTTACAATATTGAATCAATACATTATATTGAAGAACTGCAAGCTTGTATTAGAATTCTCACTTTGATGAGACCATCGAGCATATCCTCTACGATAGCCCGACGCTCTCATTTTTTAGAGATTTGTGTTCGGCGGGAATTGGCTAACACCGGCTGATATAAGAGATGCAACTCTTGGTGACGTTGTCAACTACATTAAATCTGTAGGCTGGTTCACAAGCTAGGAGGTCTATCATCCTAGCAGAATTCATACGTTACAGATTGATATTGTACGTAAAAATAGTTAGAAAATCAACAGAAATGAAACAAATATTATAATTTTATGAATCAGATCAATTCCACGCGTTTTTTTGTGGCTTAGAAGTAATGAAAAATATACTAATTGATTGATATTATTTGCAGCATTTAAATAACCTATTAGAAAACTATCTAGAACCACTAAAAAAGGAAACGTTCCTATCAAACGCCGAGATCAACGCTCTCTTTGGTAACATACAGGAGATTGTGACTTTCCAGAGGCAGTTTTTGAATAATCTAGAGGAAGCCATTGATGTTGAACCAGATTTCTATCGGTTGGACTACTGTAGCCAATTTAAGGTGACTGAACTAACTAAGTTAATGGAACTAATAGAAATATCAGTAATTATTATTTTTTTACAGAACGTATTATTCGCCATAGGTAGCTCTTTTCTATCATACGTAAACCATTTTAAACTCTACAGTTCATTCTGCGCCAGCCATAGCAAAGCACAAAAGGTCCTTCATCCCAGTAAGTACTCGTTATCAAATCAGCGATATCTATAATAAAATAACATTATTACCAATTCGTTTGTATTTTTTTCTCTTCAGATGAGGGCAACCAAGCTCTCCAGGAATTTTTGGCTGCTAGAAATCCTAAACAACAACATTCTTCCACCTTAGAATCCTATCTCATTAAACCAATCCAAAGGATACTGAAGTATCCTCTGTTGCTACAGCAACTTAGGAACCTGACTGACCCAATTAGCGACGAACATCAACATTTATTAGGTAAGTTATTTACGGCTTTGCAAATATATGCGTTTTTTGTGACTTTAGAATTATTTACATTTTTTGCAACCTTATTTTTGTTTATTTTTTGCGAAAATAAATTTAGTTTTTCGTGCATTTTTTGCGACCTTAAAATTTTAACGTTTTTTGCAACCCTACATTCTTTTCTATTAACGACTTTCAGATGTTTACATTTTTAAGACCTTTTTCACGAATATTTTTGGCGACCATAAAATGTTAACGTTTTTGTGCGACCTTGACATGTTTACGTTTACATTATTTACGACATTGAAATTTTTATATTTTTGCGACCTTATTTCCGGATGTTTTTTGTGGCCATGAGTTTAATTTTTCGAGCAATTTTTTCCACTCTTAAAATAATGTAAACGTTTTTTTGCGACCTTATTTCTGAATATTTTGCATCCATAATATTAATTTTTCGTGCATTTTTTGCCTCAAATTTTTTTTATATCATAAATTGTTTGCTTTTTCCGACTTTAAAATGTTAAGTTTACATTTTACATACCGTTTTTCGCGATCTTACATAACATTTTGTATTTTTTTACGATCTTACATAACATTTTGTATTTTTTTACGATCTTCTTGTATTCAGATATTTTTTGCGACCATAATTATAATTTTTCACGTATTTCAGAGGCCTTAAAAGGAATGGAAAAAGTGGCGGAACATATTAACGAAATGCAAAGAATACACGAAGAATATGGAGCTATTTTTGACCATCTATTTAGGCAACACCAAAAATCTTGTAAACAGGTAAATTGGGTTTATATTTTTGTACATATTGTATACGGTGTTCTTTAACGATTCGTTGAAATTGAATTTGTTTTTTTTTTTAGAACATAGATTTGAGTCCGGGTGATCTTCTATACTATGGAGGCGTAGAATGGCTAAACATTTCTGACTTCTTGGGGAAAATTAAAAAAGGACTTGAACTACATGCTATGTGCTTTGTCTTTAAGACTGCTGTCGTCTTCCTATGTAAAGAACGATTAAGGCAAAAAAAGAAGCTTATGGTATTTTTAACTTTTTTGCAACCGGCAGATACCGTAGTTAGAACTCACTTATACTACAAAAGGTAGAGATTGTAACATTATTTTCTTTTTTAGGGAGTGGCTAATAAAAACGCATCGTCAGAAGTGGAAATAATTAGGTATCAAGTGCTGATCCCGGTGACGGAAGTTCAAGTCCGCGCCTCCTCATCCAAAGACATGGATTCGCATTTCCTATGGGAATTGATCCACTTACGAAGTCAATTACAGAGGAGATCAGAGAAGGTCTACGTTCTTTCTAATAGGTAGGAAATTTATTTAAAGCTACAATCGTTTAATATTCAATAATAGAATAATTATAAATAGTTACAAGTTTGCCAGATATAATTAGGTAAAAATAATCGGCGGGTCCTTTTTGCCCACAAATCTCTGTTTTCTACCTGTGTAAGTAAAGGGGTGCGTTAATCTTACTGGTATTTTGCCCACAGTAGCATTCAGGTACCTAAACCCGCAAATTACATCCGCCCACAAATAGGTACCTACCTGATTATTAATAATTCTAATAGGTACTTACTTTGGGTGTTTACTGCTTATATTTCAGTCAGTTTTTATACGTTGATGATTGTAATTCGAGTGTTTATAAACAATAATTATTTCTATAATGTCAGCTACATTGATTAAAAGCACACGCGGGAAAGATGTACACCTTTTGGAGAATTTTACGTTTGCTAAAGATAGAGAAATGAAAAGTGGAGAAGTTTCTTGGAGATGCTCCCAAAGAAAAACAAATGCTTGTAATGCCACTGTATTTACAATTGGTCCTGAACTTTTAGTATCCAGAGGCAACCTAATTCATAGCCATGAAGCAAATGAACCGAAATTAAACAGGAAAATTATTTCTAATTCGTGTAAGCGAAAAGCAGTTGATGATATTTCGGAAAAACCTTCTAAAATTATCCGTAAAGTACTTGCTACTAATTTACCAGAGTCACTAACTACAATTGATGTGTCCTACATAAGAAAAACTATATACAACAGTCGTCGCAAAATACTACCAGGTCCATTACCTACAAATATACAAGAAGTGCATGATGCAGTTGACTTATATTCTAATAGCAGAGAAAATAATATTATTGTATTTACATGTGAGACAAATATTCGTACTTTGTGTAAAATGAACGTCTTGTATATGGATGGAACATTTTCGTATTGTACAAAGTTTTTCCTACAATTATTTACCATTCATGGGCTGTGTAATGGACACTATGTGCCCCTGGTATATTGTTTATTACCAAACAAATCTACCGATATATACAAACATTTGTTTTCGTTATTGCATTATAAAATTTTGGAAACTTACAGTATTGCTTTAAATCCATCTAAAGTGTTCGTTGATTTTGAAATAGCAATTCATAAGGCGTTAATTTATATGTGGCCTAATACTGTAATCAATGGCTGCCGATTTCATCTACATCAAGCGTGGTATCGTAAAATTCAGTCTCTGGGATTAATGACTGAATATACAACTAACAGTGATACCGGAAAATGGCTTAAAACATCATTTGGGTTGACATATTTAAACGCCGATGAAGTCGGAGACTGTTTTGTGTTTGACTTAATGGCAAGTAAACCAGAAAATGCCGTTCTCGATAGGTATGCCGATTACCTATTAGAAACATATATTGAAGAAAATTCTACATTTCCTCCAAGTATATGGGCAGAAAAAACAGCTTCAATTACAAGAACTACAAATGCCTGTGAGTCGTTTCATTCAAGGTTTAATTCTTCATTCTACTGTACACATCCTTCTGTATATATTTTTATAGAAAAGCTTAAAGACTTTCAAATCGACACGTATGTCACAATACAAAGCTTAAGTATATCTAAGAAAATCAAAGACAAAAGTGTAAAACAAAAAATTCAGTGTTTAGAAAAATTTATACAGCGATTTGATCTGCAGCAAATCAGCAGATTAGAGTATATAAAATTTGTATCACATTTATCCCTCCCAGTTGAAAAATATGTAAATAAAATATAAATATATAAAAAATATAATATAACTTATGTATACTTACTTTTTTATAATAATAAAAATTAGTGTTTAATATAATTTTTAGTTTAATTAATAATGTGTTTTTACTTTTCGATAATATATAAAAAATAATAAATGAAAGATATATCTATTATGATTTATTCAGTTAGAAATAAATTTGGGCAAAATACCAACAGGATTAAGATGACCTTTTACTTGCTGTGGGCAAATTACCTATAGGATTAGCAGCTTTAAATATTTTGTGGGCAAATTACCTCCGCCCAAAATAATATACAAAACTAGTATTTGTCTTCGTTCCAGTACGGCTGAATTCCGCAACGCTTTCCTAAAAACCATCAGACAAATCATCAGGGAATCCGTCAGGAACATGTCGATACCGCAAACTAAACCCGGCGCCGGTCCCGGAATCATCCTAGTAACGGGCCACAAAACCAGCGGCCACCTGAACAGTCAAACCTTAGAGAGGCCGGACAGGCAGAGGACCGTCATCGTACACGCCGGTTCTCATACGATGGGAAAGAAAAAAGGAAAAACCTCACAAAGGCATTCGGCCGGTAATATAGACTATGATAATATCAGCACGGAAGCTGAGGAACAACCTGTTTCGACTTTCAGATGTAGGAGTAAGACTGTCGGGGATCAAGCAGGTAAGATCCAATTAAACTTGCAAAGCTTCTGTTAAAAATAGAATTAACTATTCAAATAAAATTCTAAATAAATAACTTCAGTGCAGTCCTGTATATACAGGGTGTTATTGAAATACACGTACATATTAAAATGGGGAATAGTATGTAATGACCAAAAACGATTGGAACCAATTTTAACTTCAAATTCTAAAATTTAAATATTGGGGAAGAGTCCCCTTTTCCGACCTACTAGTTTCCATATTTAAAGAAGTAAAATAAATCGAAATTGAACTTACCCATAGAAATTGCACTGTTGCCGTAGCAAAACCAATTAATTCAAAATAAAGTTTATTACAGTAATTGTTCAAAATGCCGTCCATTATTATTTACACACACTTGCAATCGTCTTTCCAAAGAACTTTGAACATTAGAAATTAGTCTTGGATTTTGTCGTAGTTCCTCGGCTACCGCATTAACTTTATTGGTTAATTGTTCAACACTATTAATAGGTTCATTATAAACCAGTTGTTTCATGTGACCCCACAAAAAGAAATCGCATGGATTTAAGTCCGGAGATCTCGGAGGCCACTTAGTAGGTCCATTTCTGCCTATCCACTTTTGAGGAAATCTAATGTTCAAAAACTGCCGTACGTTTAAATCAAAGTGAGGAGGAGCGCCATCTAGTAGGTACCACATCCGTTGCCTTAATTGTAACGGTATCTCTTCTAGGAGTACTGGCAAAATATCTTCTAAAAAGTGGAGATATCCTGGCTCATTTAATCTGTTCGGGAGAACATAAGGCCCGATTAAATACTGATCTATTATGCCAGCCCAAACATTTATTGAAAATTTTCTTTGATGCCCAGTTTCCCTAATGGCGTGAGGATTTTCATCACTCCAAATATGCGTATTGTGCATATTGAACACGTCATCACGAGTGAATGAAGCCTCGTCAGTATACAATAATATTTTTAGAAAATCAGGAATATCAACACATTTTTGAATCATCCATTCACAAAACTCCACTCTCTTTTCTTCATCACCTGGATATAAGGCCTGGACTTTTTGGATGTGATAAGGATGTAAACCTTGTTCTTTAAGTGTCCGCCACACAACAAATAAGGACACTCCAATTTCAAGACCTAGTCTTCTACAACTTAATTGAGGCCGGTTTTCAACAGCTTCCAATATTTCTTCTTCGGCCGCCAATGTTCTTTGTGTTCTTGTTCTCCCTCGATCTGCATTGACACTCTCAAATTTTCCATGGTCTCTTAGATGCTGAACAGTTGAAATAAACGTACGACAGTCCGGAATTCTCCGATTTGGAAACCGTTTGCGATACAGGATTTGTGCTTGCCGAGAATTTTCTCCAGCTGCCCCATAAACCAGCACTATATCCGTTAGTTCAATATTCGTAAATAGTGGCATCGTAAAAAAATATTTAAAAGTAATCGTAACAACACTTTTTACCAACTTGGAAATGACGCGCTCGTGTTAGCCAGATTCGTAAATCATCTAAAATTTTAATAATCTATAGTTTCAAAAATGTATAGTTTAAAAACAATCATTTATCAAATATTCTAGTTTTTTGATAACGAGGGTAGTAAAAACCAGTCTTCGGAAATAGAAATTAATTCGAAAATCTTGGCAACATGGTTATTTCTTACAAGACTAGTTTTCTTATCATCTGACAAAAACTTGCATATTAATTACTGTTGATGTTTAAAATAGGTAAATAAACCTAATTTATATAGGTCATCCTCAACATATCAGTGAAGTACGTTTGTTTTAGAATTAATTTTCAAAAATTAATAACTCCATTAATAAGGGGTATTTTTAAAAAATAATATTTTTCTACATTCAGTGGGGATCTGCGCAATACCCAGTTTTAATATGTACGTGTATTTCAATAACACCCTGTATAACCACAGGGCGTAGATATTGCAACATGTTTTTTACTTGTATGCTTCACCCCGCGCATCTTCTTTCGTATTTAACATTAACGTTAATGTGTATCTACTTTAGAACAGCAAAAAAGACCTGACCATCATCACCAACATGAAAGACACGAAAAAATTGAAGGTGGCGCTAAATCGGAAGGAGAAGACGACTCCCAAACCGGAATGGTGAAACCTAAAGCTTCTTTGGGCAAAACACCAAACCATTTAACTCTCAGGTATCATAAAAGTTAATAAATACTATTATGATTTCTTACTTTCGCTAACTTTGTATTTAGACTCAATAATTTCTTGTAATTTTCAGTACGACGTCGACGTTGTCAGCAGGAAGCACAGGCAGTCAGGCGCGCCTGATACAGTCCTCGCACGCGCCAGAAAACTTCCATCCCATGGAGATCGAAGATCTAGGTAAGCCAAACGTAAAAACCGTAAAGGCCGAAGTCCACATAGTCAAATCTAGATCGCCGCAAAGGCAAAGCAGCGATCCCAAAAAGGACATCCACAAAAACGGCGGCATAATAAAGAAAGACCCAAGTCCGAACCACTCCAGAAAATCCACTCCCAATCATTCCAGAAAATCCAGCCCGATCCAATCTCGAAAAGGCAGTCCCAACAAGAAGCGATCGGACAGCGTCAGTCCGAGAGGCTCGAGGAAGTCCAGTCCTAAAAGTTTGAGGAGATCGCGCGACAACAGTCCCAAAACGGAAAACGGTGTTAAAAGTCCTAAAAAAATTAAGTCTTCCCTTAAGCAACCGACTAAATCTCTTAGTATCGAAGCTCCGACTTGCGTGGAGTGCTATCTATCTGGAAAATCGGAAAAGCCTGGATAGCATTCGCACTACGTTCACAAGCGTAGCAACAGCTTCGTTTTAACGCGGTTCAGTAGTGACAGTAACGAGGAGATTAAGTGTTAAACGAAAAAAAAAGACTTCGATATTAGATAGTTCAATTATGCCACCGGCTTCTTTTTTTAGTGTTGTTCTTTATTTTTTCCTGATTTACGTAGCGACCCTGCTTTGCCGTAGTTGAAAAACCACTTTCCAAATTTCTTCAGAGTCGTGTTATGAAATGATCCAAAATCATCGTTTCAATAATGAAAAATAGTTTACTATGACAGCTGTGACAGCTGCGAAACTGTTAAATACAGTGCACGGACCTTGCAAAAATTAGGGAATAATTTTTTCACTCACTTCATGTTTTTGAGGGTGATGAATATGAATCTGAACTAAAATTAAATATTTCAGCAGCCAAAATATCTGGTAGGAACTGATCAATATTGCGCTTCCATCTAAATCCCAAAAAGTTGCGACCCTAGCTTGTTTTACATGGAACAAAAATTGTAGGTTCAACTGTAATAAAAATTAAATTAAACATTTTTGTTGGTTATACTGCGAGTTGTCATGCCAGATGGTACAGGTAAATCAAACTTTTCTTGTTCGATGTGAGGTATGGAGTACCACTATTAAATTCACCTCTGCATCTTCAGCCTCGCAATTTTTTTCTTCTACTCTACCTTTAAAAATAATTAAAAATAATATTCATTGTATTTTCTTCTAGTTATTCCGCATCCTCTTCATTCATTTGAATAAAAAGATTATCGTCTACAATATCTATATAATTTTTTTTGAATAACATTAATCTTCTTCGTATGTTAAGTCGTGACTTTTTGCAATTACATCTTTTCTTACGTGCTTTCTTGCTTCTACCTAAAAGAATCATCTTCAATATCGAATCAGGAGTAGATTGACTCCTAATATTTGGTTCCAGTCCCACTCTTGAGGGGATTTCTCATTGCCAAGCCATTGCTGATCCTCTTGATGTTTCTAATGCAGTTAACATAATATATGGTGCAATGATAACATAAGGTCTATTTAAGTTTTTTTAGTTATATGGTCTTACTGACAGAAGTTTGCAAATGTCAAATTGAAAGGATAAACGCTCCAGTCCTTAATTTACTGATGAAATTTATTGGATAATGGTGTTAAGCATATCGACATTCGTTCTATAACTAGGCAACTTCTGGTTATTTCGAATCCTCTTCAATCTTTTGATTCAAAGGATCCTAAATTATCTTTAATAGCAACGATTATCTCGATATTTTCGTAATTACCTTCGCTTCTATGCAAATAAAAGAAGAGTTGATGTATCTACAAGAAATCTTCTTTAATAATTAATCAGGACATGGGATTGGCACAAATCCAGTTTTTGATATCTTTTAATCCCACTCTTGAGGGTATTTCTCGTTACCAAGCCACTGTTCAACCTGTTGGTAAATCCTCTTAGTGAGTGTCCTGGGGTTGCTTCTGATGCAAGTGGTAATGCAACTATATTGGTAGTTTTGTGGCATTTTTCATTTTTGTAGGAATAGTAAATATTAAGCTTACTTCACCTGATTACCACCAAGCAACTAGGGTTGATCAAGGGCATAACATTACAAATAACTTTCCCTTGGAATATTTTCATAGATCCTAAGGCTTTATATTTATTTTCAAACGTATATTCAACCTTGAAAATGGCGATAACGTTGTACCTATGCTTTTTTTTATCATCCTAACAGGAAGTAACCTCGTTCTTATCTGTCTTCGAATTCTATCGAACTAAACGGCATACTGGAGAAGCCACGTTGCCATTTAATGTTAGGTTTCTGGGGAATTAACGGGCATACCTACCGTTGATTCTTGCTGTGCGGTATTGCAAGGTCTATTCTTTTAATTCCCCCAGATCTGTGGAAAAATCGATGAAAGTGTACTAAAGGGTCTTCCCTACTACTACTACTACTACTACTACCTTGTTACGTGTGGTAGAAAAAGGCAAAGCTTAGGAGTTATTATGAATAACAAAAAACACTTTTGTTACTTTTTTGCTTATGACGTTTCCCAATAAAATTAGTTCAGATTCATATTCAGCACCTTTGAAAAATGATTCCTAATTTTATGCATAACTGGACTAAATTTTGGTTTTTGATTCGTTTTGACTACACGACTTGGATTAAATGAAAGAAAGTGGTCCATGTAGTATTGCTTAATGTCTGTTGGACTTCGAACGACCCTATTTTATTTTTGATCTGTTTGTATACAGGTGTAGGTACTTTGCTTTGACACCACGAGGGTATTATTTCATTATTTGGATTATGGAAAGATGTAATTTATAAAATTTAATTGTAGTATTTTTTAAAACTATTTATAAAACTGATTACTAATATTTTTGTTGTGAAGGACTTCAAACTTATTTCCGTTTGGTTTATATTGTCTGTAACTATATAGTTCCAAATAATTGCTTTGTTTAGTTTCATTCTAGCAAGGATCTTAGCAGCAATTTCGAGAATGTTTCTCAAAATAAGGTAATATTTAATATCATTTTGTCTTAAACCTCTCCAGTAAATTGATATTCTTGTTTCGTTCTGTATTTGTACTCCTATTCTATAAATTTGCTCAGCAAACTTTTTCATCTTGTCTCTATTAGTGAAAGATAGTTTTTCCACTTTAACAGTAGGTAGCTTGATTATATCTCAACAATCCATGTTTTTTTTATTAAAATGAATATTGCATACTTCTAAATAGTATTTTTGGTACCCTATACTATGAGCCAAATTAAATTTATACACTTTTTATCCATTATTAACTATTTACTTGTTAGGGCACAGATTTTTTCCAGGATGGTTTTCAATTGCTGCAAAAAAGCAGATTCGATAGATAAGATAGAAAATATGATTATTTTTGGCAAATGATGTGCTCTATAACCCATTGTTTTATATCGAAATTTATTGGTTTATTAGGAAACTCTTTATCCTGTTGGCTTTATAAACTAGAATCATTAATTATCTCAAAAATATAGCACGAAACTTGTCAAAATTATGATTCTTTTTTTAAAACTTTGATTATCAAAAAATTGCAGCTTATTAATACTAATAAATCATGTAAAAAATAATAAATAAACTGAATAACCTCTGAAAGAATACACTACCCCATCTGCCTTCGAAGAACTAATTAAATTGTTACTACAGCTAAAAAATTATTAATAGTTAAAAAATCTATAAATTTAATTTGGATTACAATTTATTTCTATAAATGACCTAAAATCTGCATGTACTGATCTAGATTTTCAATAAATATTTATTTTATTAGTTTTCAAAATATCCATCGACTCAGTTATATTTAAAAGCAGACTTTCTAAACCACCCACCACTTAACAAGTGAGTAACTATAATTAAGAAAAATTGGAAGTTTATGACCATTTCATGGTGATATTTAAAATTAAATAAATAAAACCACCTCTAAAAAACCAAATGGAATAAAAAAACCGAAGAACAACATAAAAAAATAATAAAATTTAAACCTCTTTGAATACAGCAAGAATTAAGAAAAAATAAAAGCAGTAATTAAAGAGAAGAGAGAATATGGCTGATGAAGATGAAAATGGAGCTGTAGAAAAGAAATTAAATGAAACTATGAACATTATTACATCAAACAGAAGAGCATATTATGAAGATACAAGTCTTCAACAAACTGACTATAACAAACCTTTATAAAAGATTAAATAAAATAATTTGAACATTCTGAAACTAATTTCCTTACGGATTATTAAGACCATCACCGAAGCCCAAAGGTGAAAACAGATACTTGAAGATCTTCCTATGCATAGTACTTATACTTGATGTTAACGCTACCCAAAGTCTGCTTTTACCTGAGAGATCTTCTAAACGTTTTTCATATTAATACGAATTTTAAATAACATTTTTTTTCAAAAAATTAACTCTTTAAAATTAAAAAAAAAATAGAAAACCCTCTCAATTGGCGAAGTTATATAAAAAACATTGTGGATCAAAGCAATCGTACCACACCCGAAATTCTAACCTCAAAAATTGATCCAGTTTGTTTTGTAGGGTCGCCTGTATGGAAGCCAAGAGACAGTAGTATAGAGGCGACCTCTACCACTCTCCCGCGCAAGGCAAGAGATCACAATATGACGACTCTAAGTGCATCGCGTAAGTCTTTGATAGAAACGAGCACTAACTTGGAGATACACAATACGTACAACCAGCAATAAGGTCGACAAAAGGGCTGACGTTAAGCCTAGTTTGATTTTATGTCTGATAGAGAAAAAAATCGCCATGACTGTTTGTATGATACGGTGTTTTGAAGGTTAAGTGCTGAACTAAAAGCAATATTGGGAAGAAGGGTGCTTTTACTAACACATTTTTAACACTACTAACAATCTCACTACTGACAACTAACTCTACTAATAAAACAGTTTCCCTTTTGTTTTGGTTTGGTTTGGTTTGGCAATTTCATACATGGCAGTATAAGAGGAGTCTATTATCGATCCCTGTGGAACACCTATCGTTAGGATTCCAATTCAGAGCAGCTTCTTGTTTTTTTCTTAAAGGGTGTACAACGAAATATACTTTTAAAGTACTTACTACAAAATAGTTTTGTACTGATTTCAGAATATATAGATAGGTATATTTTTTTAAATTGGATTCGTCAGTAGCTACTAGTTACTGCCTATTACATATGGCGATGAATTAATAACTATTTGTCGTTGTATTAAGTAGATTTTAAAAGTTTTCATTATGCATTATGCTAGAAGTTTTGAAATATCAAAAATGAAATGTCAAACAACTGGTACATATTTTTAATTTTTTTTTTTGTTTTAATAAATATATAGAATGCGATCATAAAATGTGTAACTATAAAATATTTGAATCAGTCAATTTATTTCAAGCACGTTTCTACAATAAAAAATGTAACCTTATTTTAATACTTTTTGCAGGGTAGCTGCCTCCTTGAATATTTTAAATAGCAATAATAGGGGTCCAGTGATAGCTTGT